AAAATAACGTTTATTCCAAAACGGTTTCGATTAAACTAGCTGTGATCAAATTTATTTCGTCAGTTTTGTACGAAAATGTGGGCAATAAATTTTGTACTAAGTCCCGATCAATGACTTCAAAAATTTGAAATGCGTTTAGCAGTTTCTAAAATTTAAAGAATAAGAATCAATTTTGGCTCATAGCACAAAAATGCTGCTCATTATTCTAAACTTTGATGAAAACTTCAAACTTTAAAATTAAAATAATTAATCTTTTAGAGAGAATGTTCTTTAAGACCATGGACTCTATCAAATAGTTTCTGGTCAAAATATATTTTGACCTTTTTTCAAAAACTATACTGCACTGATTTCAAACATTCAAACCATTTTACTATAGTAAAAAATGTTGACTATATATACAATTTGGGATCACATACACACATAAACTTTTTCCAAATTTGATCTCAAACAATTAAAAAAATTGAAATTTCGAAAAAAAACAAAATTAGCAAATCGGGCTCTTGCAAAATTTTTAAGCCACAGATAAAAGAATAAATCGCGTGCTTCCTTAAAGTTCTTTTTTTATTTAATATGTAATACTTCTAAATCTAATTAATTAATTGACTTGATATCAGTATTTGGTAGATTTGCGAGAAGGTTGATATAACAGCAAATAAACAATGAAGTTTTTGAAGTTATATACAGAGTTATAACCAGTTATAACTCTGTGTTATTATATTTTGTTGGATTTTTAACAAAACTTTAAATATTGCATTATTATTATATATGTTAATGGCTAGTACTGCCTGTGAGCTGAATTAAACTCAAACTCGATAAGTAGTGAGAGTTTTCCCATTTCCATTTCACACTGCAGTGCCCGAGAAGGGCTTATTTACAATAAACATATTTTGATCTGTATTTTCAATTGAAAATGGACATCGCGCTGCCAGAGCGGAGAATTATTATTACGCATATAAAATTATTTTCAAATTTGCTTATAATATTTATTCCAAAATATTTTATATAGCAACACCCTATAAAATTCTTTAGTCACACACATATATGTGATTTTCATTTTGGACTACAATAAGCCCCTTTTTATTCAAAAAATTTATTAAGTGAATTTTAATTATTTTATTCTACATTTCAAAGATATGTTACGTCCATTTTTTAAACTTTTTCATTCTATTTTAATTATCAATAATAAACTAGAACGCGCAATGCAGGAGAATTATCAGGGCAAGATTGCATCAGCTTTCGAAAATGAGAAATCTTGCGGATTTCTCTAATCTTGCGGATTATAAGCATGAAATCTAAAATTTAAAAAAATATATCTAAGAACGATTTATGGTTTCATAATGTGAAGCTGGAGAAGTAAATTATGCTCCTAAAATGGAAAAGACGAATTCCTAAACCAGAGATGGCGCAGGCTCTGCTCCGATGGAAGTTCTTTTGGTTCTTTTCATGCTTTGTTTAAAAAATAGTTTTTCTTTAATAATAAAGTTTGTCATTAATGATTATGTTATATATTATTAATTAATTTTTTATATTTATTATTAATTAATTAATTATAATTAATTATAATTTTGTGAACGTGAAAAGCACCCTTATCTATGGGAAACTTTTTTCACTTTCTGGTAATACATATGCATATATGACTTGACAGCAATGGTTTTTGTTATGTAACATATCATTTTATTTCGATGCAATATTGCGCTTTGATATTCCTATACATTTAATCTTTTATCTATAATGAATAATGGTTTATACAACATATTATAAGTTCAAGTTTTCATAAAACTTATTATATTGAGGTGTCTACTTTTCAGCCATTTTCAGATTTCTGTCAAGCAAGTTGTCATATGTCATAAGTTGTCAACTGCAAACAGTTTTTATTAATGTTTTTTACTTGTTCGTAGTTGCATGGACTAAATGCAATGTTGATTATAAGAACAATTAGGAAATTTAGTTATTTAATGTCAAAACAATAGTGAATATTTATGTGAAAGTTGCAGTTATACATTCAAAACCAGTGACATTGCTTTAAGAACATAACCGATAATGGCTGGTATGAGCGAGTGTTTTGCAATAGGTAGTACCGTAGCATGCAAAACATGTCACGATCAAGATATAGAAGGTGTTGTGTTAGCATTTGATCAACAAACAAAAATGTTAATCCTCAAATGTCCTTCGAGCAGTGGGAGGAATAATTTAAACGATGTGTATATGGTTAACCTATCTCTTGTCAATGACGTTCAAGTTAAGCAAGAAACGAGCTGTGTTCCCGAAGTGCCCCCGTTGCTTAACCTGCAAAGGTTAAACACTCGTGTAAGGAATCAAATTGAACAAAAAAGAAGACTAGTTAATGCCCTTGCTGCAGGAGTAAGTCCCGAAGGCCAAAAATTGTTCATTGCTATTTCAAAAACTATTCATGAAGTGACTTGGTCAGGACCCAACATTGTTGTTTATAATCAAGTTACAATTAATCCACCATATAAACCAGAAAATGTCATAGGAAATTCTGAGTCTCGGGAATATATGTATGTAAAGAAAGTTGTTGAGAAGCACCATAAGGATCAAGCCTCTGTTTCATTGACGCCCGCTACCAATGCAGCCCAGCAGTAATTTAATTTGCGACATTATAATTTAATAATATTGCAATATACTATTATTTAAATATAGTATTTAGTAATATTTTATATCTACTGCAAAGTTATAATTTAATAAATCATGTTTATATTTAATATTTTAATCAATTTAATGTAGGCATTGGCATTAAAGATTTTTTCTAATCTAATTAATGCAGAAGAACAGTATTTATAAATAAATATATAAGGTAGCATCTACTTTTATTATTGTAGGCATTCTAGTTAATGACGAAAGAAAACAATATAAGGATGGCAGCAAAAGATTTTGTCATTTAACAAAATTAAAATCCATTGAATGATAACACTCTTTGGTTTTGTAGCAATAAATAAAATAATTTTTACATTATTCAAAATTGAGTTTTGCCATAAAAAAAACTCCAAACGTGAATGAGTGATTTATCTCTTTCTCAAATTAGACAACCATTTTCTTTTCGTTATTGTTGACAGCACTGTGCTACGAAGGTGGCGAAAAGCACACGCTAATGGCAAATTTGTAGGTTATGATGGGCACGGTAACATGCAGGTGAAAGAAGAAAAGAATTTGTACGATATTTTAGGCTGCCAAAATGATGCTTCGTCGGCTGAAATCAGAAAAGCATATCAAAATTTGATTTTAAAATGTCACCCAGACAAGTGCTCATCCAGCCAAACGGATACATATCTTTCTGTTACGAAGGCCTGGAAAATTTTAGGAGATCCAGTTTCCAGAAAAAAATACGATGCTGAATTATTTTCTGAACAAAGTAAAATTATTTTATATGCAACTTTGACCCGTGATGAATTGAGCTATGATGATGAGAGTGAAATATACTATTATCCATGTCGATGCGGTGGCACTTATGTTATTGATGAAATTGCTTCAATGAATGAAGATTTGTGTATTGGATGTGATGAATGCTCTTTCTCAATATTAGTTAAGAAAAGTGTATAATGAGACTGTAAAAAGCTTGCTGACTATATAAATAGTAGCCTTACAATTTTTATCTAGCTTTGTATATATTTGAGTAATCGATATAAATTTTATTAAGAGGCTGCAAGGCTGAGGAAAGAGAAATCTCTATTATTTATAGCTTATTTAAATCAAACATAACTATAAATCAGCAATAAAACGAAATTTCATTGAATATTGAAGTATATTAGAATGATTCTATATACTAAACTATAGTAGTTTAATCCTCGTAAATATCATAAAAATTTTCATATAAAATATATTTTAGATAATTTTGTCAATAATTATAACTTATTTAATATAAATATGATTATTAATAAAATAGTATTATTATTTACATAGACTCCTCCTTTTTAATCTTATATGGTGAACATCAGTTTGTGCTCATGGCATATAAGGTCCTTATCAATAAATGTATAAATGAAAATGTATAATTGAAAGTCATTTGTAAACTTAATGATAAATTATGGCAAAGATAACATTATCAAAAGCAAATGTTTCATCCTAATTCTTGTATCACAATCAATGGAGTGGTGTTTTTTGAAATTTTATAATCTACGAAGAGCAGCTATACTTAATGAAGAACACTTAGTTTTTCGTGTTGGTTGTACAGACATTGGAGCCACCAACATTTCATTGTTTACATTATTTGGTGCACCACCTAATTCCTATAATATTTATTTTTATTTTTATCTAAGTCTGGAAAACTAAAGCTTATTTATTATGAACTATACTAACATTAATATTGTTGCAACTGGCAAGCCGCATCTGAGCTAATTGAGAGGACGGAGTTAAATTATTTGTACTTCCAAAAGGCGACATCATAGTTGAAACTGCACGCTTGAATTTTGATGGTGTTTTATTAAATGAAAATGCTCTTCCAACCTGAAAATAATATTTTTTAAATAAATAAGTGCTACAAATTTTATTCAGCTTTATTATTTCAAGCACCTTTGCAGCCGATTTTCATACAACACATACAAACAAACATGCATCATTATTCAATTCTATTAAGACATTCTTCAATTTGTTTCTTTACATGCTGCAAATAATTAGTTACAAAATGTTGATCATACCGCAATAATGCTATCAATATTGTTACTTACTTTCATCCTTGTTCGTGATGCAAATTTGAAAGCTTTTGAAAGAGTGCCGAGTGAAACATCACTTGTATCAATTTCTAGTTGTTTTGAATTTAAACTTGCCATAAAACGATCCTATAATACAAAATATTATACATATATAAACTACAAATTTGGAGATAATTATATTAATGAAATCAGTGCATACTATAGCCCTTAATATTTTACTGTCAAAATTGATAAACATTTTTTTAAATTAAGCTCTTCATAAATTGTTACACCTTATACTTTGGCATAAAAAAAATAGTGAAAAAAATACAAAAAAAAAAAAAATGTACAAAATTATAAGAGTACACTTATGCACAATCAGAAATTAAAATATCACTTACAGCATCAGCTTTGCAAACTGTGTTCGCCATCTGCCTGCAGAGGCTGCGTAGAAAAGTGGTTTTATCAACATCTTCTTCAGTAATTGTAAACGAATATAACTTTTCTTTAAGTTCCTGATTGCTGCGACAAGTTAAAGCAAATACTGCATGACAATCTAATAGAAATAATAGAACAACTTATTAGTGATAATGTTTAAATATTGATCAAGCAAAATGTTAATTACTTTACCTTCTGTTTCATGAATGTCTATAACTCTTTTAACATGACTTAGAGGCATTAACTTCACATGTTTATAAGGTTTACCTGCTCCTAATTTTGTGGAATGCGTACTACCTGTATCAAACACATTGATTATTAACCTATGTATTGTAACTTATCAACTGTATATTGATATCCTCATACCTATTGCATTTGGACTTTTAAGGCTATTAAAGGCTTTGGATCGTTTCTTACAAACTTCTAAAATATCAGAGAATAAATATAAAACCAGATGATCACCTCGACCACTTAAACCATCACTTAGTTCCATTACTTCACAACGTGAGATAAAGCTTCTATGTGATGATACTAAATGTGGCTAAAATACAAATATAAAATTTAATATTTCATAATTAACATAAATGATTATTGAGCATTATTTTCAGCATAGACAAAATATTTTATAAAATAGTTTTGCCATAAAAACTAAACTAAAGCCCGGTGCAACGACGCTAGTATTTCTTGTAACAGGATTTCTGTCAAGTTTTCTGGTAAGGTGAGCAAGAATTTTGCACCAGATTTTCACTTATTTCATTTGTAAAATACGCCAGAAATTTTCGAGGACAAAAGTTGTTGAGAAATCAGTTTCCGACGTTACTAGGCAACGGTTTAGACAGAAATTATGTTAAAAGGATACTGTCGTTGTGAATAGAAGGCTTAAACATAAAATCTGGCTGGCAAGGTCGTAAAATATGTCGCGCAAGATCGTAAATTATGATTTATCATATCGTTGCTAGGTAACAAACTGTCCGGCATGCACTAATCAGGAAATCTAGCGTCGTGTGCACCGGGCTTAAATACTAAAAAATATTTTTATAGCAAAAGATAATAATACCATTAAAAACTTACTGGGCAATTATCGATGTCATTAAAAATATCAAACATAACCATTTGTGCTTCAGTTTTTCTTTTATCTTCATTGATGTATGTCATAACTTCTTTTATACTTTCAAGAGCCTTCTCTAAGGCATTATAATCCAAATTACTCTTTGGAGTATGCTTTAAAATGTCTGAAAAATAAGAATATGTAATATTTTTGTATAATATAAATATATAAAGATTATATAGTACATAGATATATTTTCCAAATAAATTCCAAATTTTACAAAATTTATAAATACCATTTAATAAAAGACTAATACTGGGTAATCTCTGTACAGGCCTTATCATTAATTCTTGTAGAGATTGTCTACCACATTCTGGCCTCGTTTGACAAATTTTTAAAAATGCATGAAATCTGAAAATTAATTAGTTATAATCAATTTATTAACTTACTGATAGTTATATTAATTATTATACAAAAAATAAAAACTAATTTTCAATAAATATAAAGAATATTTTGATGGCAAATGTAGTAATAACTACATACTTGAAGATCTTAAACACTAACTGTATTGTAAATTATTTATAACATTACTTCTACATAATTTGTTAAAAAAATATTAACTTTATTTCATAGTTTATTTAACATTAATGAAATGTGTTTAGTTCATATTTTATCTTACCTGGTTTTGGATTGATCACATTGCACCAGCATCTCTTTCATGTTTTCAAAGAAATTGACAAATGGAGGATATGCTTTTACAAGATCTGGTGCATGTTTTAATATTATATTGCCTATGCTTGTATCTTCTGCCCAATGAGACGAAGCCCATCGCAATTCTTCCAGCATTTTACGGTGCAAGTCATAAATTGGCGGAAGATTTCCAAAAATAATTTTCAATTCAGTAGCATTTAATATCGCTTCATTTGGGCTGGTCTCAAGCATTTCTTCAAGAGGACTTTTGAACATCTAGAATAATTGCAATTTATTAATATCATTTACACTTATACTATCATTTAAAATCAAATTTCATAAATGATATAAGACATAAAATATTCTCAAAAGTTTGAACACTTGGAGTAAACAACTTATTTGCAAGTTCGACGCGAATTAAACGAAAAAAACTTGTATATATTTGTAAGTGCCAATGGCAACAGCCACAATGCCATTTACCACTTTTTATTACTTTTCTCATTCGTGCCAATTTTTTTAAAATTGTTCCATAATCGTAACTAAATAAGGAAAGAATTTACTAATTAAGATATTTTTACAATATAACTAAACCATCTATTATATAATTACGAACCGTCATAATTGTATGAAGAATGCTGACATAATTAGATTCAGTTTGAACTAATTCCAAAAAAACTTGCTGCCTTGGACTCAAGTTTTTGCGATTTATTTCTATTCCTTCTCCCTCTACAAGTTTAAATAAAATTATATGTTTTTAATTTGAATTCGAAAATAAAATTATGTTATTAATTTATTTCAAGAAATAAAAAGTTTTTTTTATTGCAAGTTAATTACCATCTAATAACTGTTTATCTGGACTAACTGTACAATCCAGAAAACTCCCTGAAACACTAAGTAATCCTGCATCACTAACAGAGGATCTCCTCTTGAGCGTAGTATCAGTTTGGGCAAGGGCTGATAGTGTCTCATGCAATCGACGTCTTTTTCTCTGGCGAGTTGAAGATGGACCACTAGCAGGTGTAGAAATTCCTGGTACATTGGCTGGAGTAGTTGTTCGGGCTGGTGTGGACAGCAGACTTTCCAAATACTAAACAATAATAAAAATATATAGAATATTTTATTTCACCAGGTGATATATTTTCGAAAAAATCAAAATTCAGAAAAAAAATAAAATTGATTAACAATTTGCACAAAAAATAAAAATCACAATATTAATATAAGCATTAAAAATTTCCGTTAAAGCTTGAAATAAATAACATTAAAAATATATATAATGACTATTCAAAATATTTATAAAATGATTAAAAAATCATTAATGATTTTTTTATATATTATATAAAAAAAATAACTTTCCATGTTTCTTACATTTTCGAATAAGTATTCCCTTTCATCGGCTTGCTCCTCATTTTGAACTGATTTCCAGAACCATTCAGCTTTGACAATTTGCGTCTTTGATGTTGCTGTTTCGGGTGCGCTTCCAGTTGTACTTTCATCCACAACCTTTTTTTATGGGTAAAAATAATTTTTTTATTTAAATATGTAATTGCAACAATATATATATAACTTCGATAATGTATACCCCCAGAACCAAAAAAAATTTGAGACTACCAGTAACATTAACTCAAGATCGTTTAAGAACAAAAACTTGAGGAAAGAATATTATTAAAATATCTAACTGCAAACTAAATTAGAGCAATTATACAAGCAGTACCATTATTAGCGTGAAAAATTCAAAAATATGTAAAAGTCAATTAATTAGTCTGGTTTAAAATATATTTCGTGAGTAAAAATTTGTGAAAAAATTAGCAAAATTAAAATGAATTATAAACTTTGTGGAGCTGACAAGAAAAATTTACAAAAAGTTTTTAATATAAAAAGATAAAAAACATTAGAATATAATTCCTAAAAGAATATAATTATGAATAGAATATATACAATTCTGCAATTATTATTTTTCAAATACACCACTTTATATAGTTAAATAACCAATGCTTGACAGAAATATCACCAGAAGCCATAAAAATTATATTAAATTTGATCAACTTTAATAAGGGTTCACGATTCCATTCCACATCTAATGTTTATATAATCATTATAGTTCTAATTATAAAGTGACATCAGACACGAACCAGGCTTTAAAACTGATAAAATAGCCACTCTCATCCTGAATGGTTATGAATTATTACAAAATATAATATAATAAAAATTTGTGTAGAACGCAAGCAATTATATAATTTTTGCTATTATTGTTATAAAAAATAGTGGTCACTTTATTTTTAATCCGATTTACTATCATTTTTAATTCGCGCCAAAACAAAAACTGGTATTGACACTAAAGTTTTATTATAATTATATTATAATATATATTATATTTACTATATATATTATTATAATTTTTTATACTATAATTATAAAAACTATGACTTCCAGTAAGACTTAACATTTTGGAGAAGAAATACTTTTAAACCTTTTTTTAAACTAGATTTTTTTTAGATACATTTCTAAAATTCTAAAATATATCTGGTTATAAAAAAAATAATCCCGAGTTAGTCAGGTGTTTTTATAAAAAATGAAAAAAATGAAATATAAATAATAGATTCTGCATATACTGTCACCACAAACAAAGTTCATTTAAATATATAAATGATATGATAAGAAAGGAAGACAGAATAGATAGATAAGACAAAAGCTCTTGAACGATTCATTCATAAGTACTACAAACCACTCAAATATCTGATTGAGCAAACTGAATCTGAGAATGAAAATTTAATATTATAAGAATTACATATATTTGATAAAAATAAATGTCAATATTGAATCCAAAAATTCATTTTTATGATTATTAAACTAGTATTCAAAATTATATCTAGTTTTTGTTGCACGCAAGATGCAAAAATGCATAGATAATTAATTTAAAAAAATCTTTTTTAAAACAAGTAATTTGAATGCTGCTCTATCAGATTGCCACTGTGTATATGTGTGTATTGTGTGTATTTGCATATATGTATATAAGTTTGCAATAGTAAAACTAACATAAAACATCTGAAAAAATCGTTCATGAATGCATTATTAATTAGCAAAATAATAACAGCAATGCTCAAATTATCAAATAATTTGAGTAAAACTGTTCAATAAATTATTGTGAGTGCGTGTTAGTACCGAGAATTTTAATGCTCTTTTGACATCCTCGGCAAGTTTGAACAACTCGGCATGCGGCGTTGAAGTCTTCATGTTATGATCAATGATCAAAGTCAAAGTCACCTCACCACCCGCATTATCTAAAGGAATTTGGGAAGAAGGATCCACTTCTTTATTTTGAGGCGAAGGAGATGGAGGTTGATAGGCTTCAGGAGTGCAACACAATGAACGCCTTCGAACGGGCGTTTTATATGAAGAATTTCCGCCAATGCTTCTCAATTCAGCAACACTGTCGCAGCTTTCATTCTGGTAGTCAGTATCATCTTTAGCTACTGAATCGGATGTGCTGACAACAGTTTCTGTCTGTTTCTTGTTCATTAACTTCATTTTCAACTTATTCCAATCGGATTTTTTGCTTGCAGAATTTATTTCCTCAACTCTGGATTCATTCATTGCACTTTCTTCCTCATCAGATACCTTTTTCGTTATCTTCTTACTTTTCAGCATATTTGCCAAAGGAGTTCGCATTGCAACAAAACTCAGGCTACGTTTTAAAGATGGTCTGGATTGTAATTTAGGTTTTTTAGCAGAATAAAATTTTGGTGGTGACATTTTGGAAGTTTTTAATTCCTCTGCTTCTGGACTGTCGCGAGGTCTTTTTCTTGTTGGCGAAACAATAACACTTCTAGTACTTCGTTCCGTATCAATTTCCTTCTCTTCCTCCATAATTGAAAAATCAGCACAATTTTTCCTCATGTCATCATCAATTTGTAAATCATCGAAATGAAGGCACTCGCTTGATGATAAACGTTTTCGTGGCGTGCAGTGACTTAGCACAGGTGTACTTTCCATATTATTAAGGTACAGAGATTTTTTATCGCTCCGGCCTGATCCCATTGGAGTTACTTTGTTAGGAAAATGGGTATAGGAAGATTGATCAGGAGTTTTTAGGCATTTTTGGGTGGCGGATTGTGATGTGATGTTGAAACGCGAACGAGAACTAGAGAACATCTCTCCGTTAGGCATTACCTGAAATTATTTTTTTAAGCAATTTGAACGCTGTATAGATTAGTGTAAAATGCAAATTAATTATTACAACTAAAGTTTATTTCTGCATTCAATGTAATACTATATATGTTATGTTGATAGAAGCATAAGTATTAACGCACATGGAAAGATTAAATTTTCACACCATGCCATAAACTTTTTGTTATTTCATAAATTAAATTTGTTCACTTTTTGAAAGCATTAAACTTACTGTTCTCCAGTTTTTCTACATCACAACACCGGATTAGTAAAATAAAAATGTGTTATAAAAAGAGGCATTAGTTTTTCAAAATGTGTTTTACACAATATAAAGTTTCAGAAAAACACCAAGCATGCGTTAAATAGTAAGAAAATTGTTGTTAATTGTGAGATATTGTTATTTAAGTGCTATAGTGAGAATATAAAATAAGAGCGCAGAAGACATGTGAAAATGAAGAAAAATATTGCAATATTATGACACCAGATATATCTACAAAAACCAAATTAGAAATAAAATTAAATAAATACAAAAATGTATTTTTCACGGTTTAATCTACTAGCAGAATTTAATAATATATTTATATTTAAAATCAAAAATTCACCAAGGGCAATTTAAAAATATTTATAAACTAGTAAATATTTTACTTACCACATGCGTGCATGAAGGATCTTCCAATTCTACAAGGACACCTCCATTCTCAACTAAAATCTCCGACATATGTTGTTGCTCATCAGCTGGAAAACCGAGGAAACATACTCGTGAGCCTTGAAAAGGCTTAAGTTTGTGTTCAGACTGAAACATATATTAAAACAATAAACAAAATTGTTTACAAATTATTGTTTATTAAAGTTTAATCTAAAGTTAGAAATGTGTTGATGATATGATATAGAGATCATATAGAGATATATACATGTAAAATTACTCAATTAAAGCATATATTTTTTTTATTCAATAGGAATATATGTTCATACAACACAGTAAACCATGGAACTTAATAAGATCTTCTTCATTAAACTCATGTTCGTAATTATATTTATATTATCGAACAAGTTTATCTTCATTATATTTGTTATAATTTGTATTGCATCAAATTTATTATGTCTAACTATTTTCATAAGGCTCCGATGGCATTTTTATTATTTGTGATTTTATTATAATGTGACAACTATTTCGAAAAACCTATTTATTACTTGTTTAAAGTCGCCTTAAAGTTTAAGGCTTAAACAATATGTAATAACTAATATGCTTGCATGTATTTCTTAGTTCAGCAAATTCTTTTTTCACGCTTAATTAAAACTCACTTTACATAATTATCAATCGGAAAAATAGCTAATGAAAGCAATACAAAACATATTCAACTTACAATGAATGCTTCATTCCTGGCATCGTGAGTGATATCTTGTCTCTTTTCCCAACTGCTTTCAACCCATTTTGCTGAAACAACAGGAACCCGGAAAGTCATAGCATAACGGTATTTTTCGCCTCCTGTGCAATTAGCTATGAGGTGTGTAACCTGAAGAAAGAACAGAATATAAATATAAATAAATAAATATATATATATATTATTTATATATATATATAATATATATATGTAAGATATTTATATTTATAACGTAGGGAAAATAACCTGGGGTTAGTTGAAACAAAACTTTGAGGCTGTGTACCATATAAGTAATTATGATATAAATTGTAGCTTATAATAAATTTATATTACAGAAGACATTATATATTTGTTTGAATTAATCATAGTTTACGTTGATTTATGAATAGAATTACTTAGAAAGAAGTCAATTTTCTTAAAAATAAGTAGAGAATAAATTATCAGAAACATTATTGTCGTTACTACTTACATGTTACAATTAGCCCCAAAAACAAGTTAAGTTGTAGCACTGCACTTTTTCCAGAAATTGATTAATTGTGAAAAATTAAATAACATTTATGGATATATTTTTATATGATTCGGTAGAGGAATAGTTATAGCCTCTATCCATCATTATTTCGAAGAAATATAATTACAGGATTTCAAGATATATTTTTTTTTAAAAAAATCTGATACAAGTCCCTATATGGTGGCGAGTATAGTATAGTATACGTGTTCGATTCATAGTTCGACAGGGATCTTTGAAACGAATCCTGTCATTGACTTAGAATTTATGAAAAAAATATGTGTAGTTAATTTGAAATTAAATAAAAATTGTATTTGTTAAGTAGAATTCGAATAAAAATTAAGAAAAATAGGAATAACAGAATTCGAATAGCATAAAAATTATTAGAACTTGCTGAAATGAAAAAAAGAATGAAGAAAAAAATGGAATGCAGATAGAAGTTAAATATAATTAGAAATTTGAAAAGAGCAAAACTTGAAGAAAATAAGAAGAAGAAGAGTTAAGAAGAATATAGAATAGGATATAAATTTATCTAGATTGAATATGATATAAAAATTAGAATGTAAATAAATAAAAATGTTGTAGGTTGGTTGGATAAATGCTCAGAGTAAGCGAGGCCAAATAATTTTTTTTAAAGAAGTCTCTATATGAATTTCTTTAAACAAAGCAAAATAATAACACATAAATGTGAAATAAAAAAAATCACGTAACACTATAACTGTCAGTGATGAACTTTTAACATAATTTTTCTTGAAAACAAAGAAAAACCTATTCATCGAAGATTTCCTTAAAATTAATCAAATCAAAATAAACAATTCTTAAGATATATACGAGTATATATATATATATATATATATATATATACATACATAATTGCTATAGTAATAGAATGATCTATCCAATGACGGGTCGGGTTTTGCGAAACATAATTTTAAAAAATGTGTAGGTCAAAGTTTTTTAATAATATATTTCGACATTCTTGTATTAATTAAAAAAAACTGTGATAGTATCACCTTAGACACCATATCCTTCCGTATAGATCCTCCCATGTGATGTATTAAACCAATGAGTCGCGTTAAATCTTCCTTCTTCCGGAAGCCCGTGAAACAGACAACGAGCCCGGACATCGACAATGAGTACAGAGGCCGCGAAGACAAAGGCATTGGAAGGTGCCGATCTGCCAGTTGACACAAAGCGGTGGGACCAATTATCCTATGAAATATATTCAATATAGATTATACATTAAAATTCAAATTAAACTTAATTAATTAATATAGCTTAATTATGTAATTACTAACAGAAATTTAATTTTTATTATATATATAAGATATAACTATTGGTGTCGCATGGCATTGTGGCTTAAGGCAAATTGTAATTAAACTTTCGCGAAATAAAAGTAATCAATCATCAATAAATAATAACAATTGTTTAAAATATTTCATCGACATATTTTATGAATCTAATATAATATAAGTGCTTATATTTAGGCGACGGCCTTTATCTATGCTTATCTAAAAGAAATAAATTTATCTATGCATTTATCTATGTTTATCTAAAAGAAACGAACACGGTCGACACATGCAATATGCTTTTTGAATAACTCTAATCGGATGCGCTGTTCCATCAAATACTGCTCTTCTGGGTACTTTTTTACTCCGTTTATCTAAAAGCGCTGAACCTGCCTCCGAAAAAAAGTATTCAATAATTCACTCAATCATTACGAATTCAATGCTTTTTGAATCATCTTAATCAGAAGTGCCATTCTCTCACAAACTGATTGCTTTAGAGCTTTTTGCTCCGTAAATCCGGAATGGCCAAACCTGCCTTTGCCGAAAACTAATCAGCACGTCTCCCCATCAATATGAATCGAATGTTTTTCGAATCGGTGCTCCTGATATCGTGACATACGAATGGCTAAATCGCAACCATGGAAAAGTTAATTATTACTCTACGCAAATGCTATCTGGTCGCGGTTGTTTTCGAGCCTGCCTACACCGCTTCAAGCACTATAGCTCGTCGGATTGTTTAGGCCCATATTGTTTGGGCGAAATCGAAGATGCTGAGCACGTGTTCTTCCTGTGCCCGCGATTTAGTGCTCCACCGGACGATGTAGAAGAGATATCGAGCCTAAAAATTACTCCAGATACTGTTGTTAAAGTGAGGCTGACAGCTGAAGCTGCTTGGAACTCCACAGACAGATTTACGAGAGATGTGCTAATTGACTTGCGTGCTATAGAAAGAGAAAGGACGAATGGGACTTCGCTCATTTAAAAGATGAGTATAAATATAAGGTAAAAATGATAACATTCTAGATCCTTCCCCCACGAAGTAATGCCTAACGGCGGTTTCCGTGGTGACCAGAGGCAAGGGCAAAGCGAAGGTTTTAGTCGGTATTATACCAGGGCGGTATTCCGGTCCAGTCCGGCATACCCTGATAAAAGACCAGTCTGGAATGCATAAAGTCATTTCCTTCGCTATACAAAAAAAAAACACACACATACAACCATTTTTGCAAGGGTATACGTTAATGTTCAGAAATCTCTGAAATGTAGAGTAATGCAAAAATTTTCTTCAATTTTTTCGCGATTACTATAACTTACCGTACAGAAAGTTAATATTCATTGTATTTAATACCATTTCATAGTATCTTCAGAGTTGTATGTTATTTATAATTTATTCAGAAGGAAAAAAGCGTAAGAAGTTAAGAAATTATTGCTATGCTTATACCAATTCAAAACAGAATATAAATTAATATAACAGAATATATATTCGAACATAACTGGTGTGAAAATGCTATTAACTTAGCAAAAATTATTACTTTATTTTTTACAATTAATTGTGTAGTACTATTCAATGTATTTTTTTTGTTGTTTTTTCTATTGTTAAAATAAAGTTCAAATGATGATAAACTATAAACAAATTTTCAATCATACCAAATCATTGCTTATATAAAATCATTCTTTTCAAAATGAATAATTTTATATACCACGACTTTCCTAAGTTGGTTAAACATTATTTAAATTAAATTTATCATTTATTCGAGATATCATCGAAAATGTTTGAAAGTGAGTTTTTTCAAACTCACTTTTGGTAACGCTATTCTATTCACATAGGTATATACTATATTTTTTTATAGACAATATTGCTAATAATAACATGAAGTTAAAATAAATTTCGTTTTGTATTTTCGTATAGTACGGTTGTTTGGACCATTTTTTGATCATCATTTAAAAGCTCTTACGTTTTTCTTGTGCTATCAAAATTTCCAGTTCCAAGACAATTTGGTGTATAAATTGTTAAACACCCGAGTGAGGCCGATTTTTATAAACTTACATATTAAATGTCATAAATTTCTTTACTTTCGCAAAATATTTAAAATAAATTGTTTTCTTAAATAGTTTTTCATAATCAGAGCAATTAAATTTAGTACCTACACGTGTTGAGAAACAACAAATTACAACTCTCTGGTAAAGTTTGTGTTTCTTTTGATTTTGGCCAACTAGAATTTCTATCCTCTATTAAATTTCAAACTGCTTTACGCTATCACACAGAGTAGAGGATTAGTAATTTAAATACCATTGAACGAGAAGTTTAAAGATTCCCAACAGAATGCAGAAACCCTTCTTCCTTTTTCATTCTTTATAAATATGTAAACAACAAAAAGGTAGAAAACTTTGCGCAACAAAGAAGATTAGGAATTGAATATACTGGAAACATATAAACCTTTTGAATTTTTTAAATTGGTTTTAAAATCCAGATAAAGGCTTCACAAATTCTGCAAAAACTTGGAAAGTTGAGTTGAGTTACATCAGCCATATTTTGAAAATTTTAGTAAACTTTCATACATGTACAATAAATAAGGCGGTATAAAAATACTCATAATAAAACTTATATTTCAAGAATCTTGCACGATGTTATAAAACGAGATCATCATAACATGTATTTTTCATACTTAGCGAGTTAAGTGAATTTTTATTAAAAACTTTAATAAATGATGACAGTGGATCCCATTCTCATGGGATTTTCACAAATTCTACAGTTCGTCAATTTTGAAAGATTTGAATAAATTCTGATCATTTTAACACTCTAAAAATTGATGTACTTTTGTACATTACTATAAATTTTTGTGTATGTATGTAGTTCCTCGTGTCGAAGGAAGCATGGCTAAAATAATATCCATTTTGATAATGAATTTATCAAATAATGATATAAATTATAGTACATGGATACTATGCATATATTTTAATTACTACGTTCAGGTTCTATGGCAATTATCGAAAAAACTAAAAATTCACATTTAAGACCTATTTTACTGTATTTTTTTGTATTATTTCTTTTTTTGGCACATATCAATTTTATAAATAAGACATTAAAGTCTTGATTAACAAAAATAAATTATAACAAAAAAATTTAAGACCTATTGCAGTCTATCTGATAAATTATTAGTTAAATAACTTAAAGTTAGCAATCTCTTTGCCTATTTTCTTTGTATCATCATACAAGTGTAAATGCCATATAAAATTGAATAAAAAAACTATTATAAACATCCGATAAGGACTTTTGATCTGTATGCAGTGATATTAAAAATCACTAACACATTTTTATAGATTCTGAATTTCAACGCTACATACGATTTTTCAGTCACTTTCTGATTTTTG